AAGTATTATAAAATAAATAAATTTACATGTATAATATATAATTTAAAATTTTGATTATTTTATAATATTATAATTAAAGAAATTTTTGTTAAAATAAAATAAATTAATATTTATTAACAAAAATTTTAATTTTAATTATTTTAAAATTTTTTATTTTTGTATATATTTGTTAATAAAAATTGATAGACTTTTGTGAGCTATCGTATATAAGAATTTGAAGTGTTATTAGATACAGTATATTAGATGCTGGGGCATCCACACTTCTGTTTTAGAATTTACTGGATAATGAAACTCTGGTAAAAGTATTTTTCTTTATCCCCTTTGTTCAAAGATTTGTGATTCTGGATTCATGTTCTTCTAAAGCTTTCTTTAAATTCATATTATTGACTTTATTAATCTGAGTATTTTCGGCCGTAACTTTCACATTCTCAGCTTTAAGTTCAATAATCTCGGCAAACTTTAAGTTTATCAATTTCGGATATTTCATAACTTGTTTTAAAAGCTCAGCATTTCTTACCCTAGGTCCAATCTTTGCAACCTCAAGCTCAGAAATTTGTTGTCTCAATGAATCAATCTCTGATTGTATGTATAGACTGAATATACTCGATTGTTTATTTAAATAAAAATTCTAGCAAAAAATTTTCAAGACCACGAGTCGTGATTGCATTTATTTTTTTAAGTCATGTACATCGTAATACATTTTCAAGAAATTACTCTAGTATAGTGCCGCAGTCATCACTTTCTTTTTTTCTTAGCTACCGGTTGTACAATGATTTTTTCGGGTGTCAAATCAGTAAGTGTAATAAACGCACCCTCATCACTATCTGGTGTACGGGTACATGCATCCGCAATGTAACACTTCAGATCAGTCAAACTCTTTTCAAGAAGTTCCTGATGATGTATAAAATAAATTTTTTCGTGAATAAATGTAAGGAACTATATGTAATATGGTTAGATTGGAATAAAAACAAACCCTAAATTTGAGGAACACGGGCACGGATCGTAATATCAAACAAACCTCACTCTCACTCGTGGGCAGTTTTGATCGTAAGACCTCACAAAAAATGTACAATCCACAGTATGGTATGGACATCTCATACACGATTATCTCGTTATCTATAAATGTTAATTTTATATAGTTTTTATAGTTTTGTATACATAATTAATAATTTCAAAATTGGCGACACTTACAATAGGCCTGTAGTCCATACAATTTTATTAAGTTCAAATCAATGTCTGTCCCACCGTACTTCCTTACAATCCTATTAATAATAGCCTTTAGCATTTTTGCAATTTTTATTTTATCATTAAAAAAATGAGTATGATTTAGTTGGTTCGGCGGTCCACTGACTTCGCCAACAGAGAACTCGAGGTCACTTGACTTCATAGACCAGATGATGTCTACTTTTCGACCGGAATTACGGTCTTCCCCGTCCGTTTTTTCTCGATTTCGATCTTCAGATGAAGCAAGTAGACATTTTTCGCCACTATGATGTGAAAGTGCATTGTGTACATACAATTTTGTTAAAAAAAATTATATCAAAAGATTTATAAAAGATTATTCAAATACCCACAAATGAATCTTCATTTTCTGGTGCGTTTCACGGAAAAGACTACGAATTAGAGGGGTAAAAAAGATTTCCCTGTAGCCATACTCGGATAATGTATAATCCGAGAGATCGCTATCTCTTTCAAATGATTCAGTGCTAAGAAAAAAAACCTTGGATAAGATTAGGAAGGCAGAGGAAAAATTAGGATGGTCCTTAATTCTTACAGCAAATTCGAGTAATCCCATATAAATTTAGCAGTGTTATTGACTCGTGTTGTTAAGTAGCTTTCATCCACAAAATTACGTAATTTTTCTGCCTACATTGAGATATTAAAAAATTAGGACCAAGGCAGCAAAATATTTTTAAATCAAAGATCATGAAAAAAAAACGATGCCTCAATAAAATTAATAATGTAATCTTTCATTCCGTCTACATTTTCCATATGAGGTTTGGGAAATGATTTAGACTGCCTCAATTCCTGCGCCACATCAATTGGTAGTGATAGTATAAAATCACTGTTTGAGCCTGGCGTGATATCTATGATGTCGTAAAAGGCTAAACTAAAATTTCTAAAATTAGCAATAAGTTCGAATCTATCACATGAGAAAACAAAATGTTACAGAGCTACATACTCGGTGCGTGGTCGAGTTTTCTCCTGCTTCCATTTTACTAATACGTCGCGCACATCGACTCCATGTATAATCCATTTCTTTCCGTTCCGAATGGTTTCATAAACATATGCACCGAGTTCATTATTCGTGCTATTTAAAAAACTGTGAAATTGTTGCTTAAATAGTCATTGGCGTAAAATAATTATATACCTCTCTTCGTTGCTTATATTCTCTTTTCCCAGTGCGATTTCAACTAAAGGCGCTACCAAAGACACGAACTTTTTGCTACCATCATAGTCAACAGTAGTTTCAGTTTCAGTTCGTGTCTGAGAAATATTAGAACTTTTATCATGATCATTCTCTTTAATATCGTCATCATCATCGTTATTGATAGTTGTAATTTTGGTTTTTTCCTGGGTCTCTAACAAATAATTACTGCTGGATGTGTTCTCAGCTCTTTGCTGAGCCTGCAAAAGAATATTAACATTATGATTAATATTGTTTCATAGGAATAATTCGTAACAATTAACCTACCGATTTACCATCTAATATGTCGTCTAATTTCTCATGGAAAGAAATATGGGCTTCACGTTTTCGTTTTTTCACTTTCCGCTAATATTCAACGATTTTTGGTTTATAACAGTAACAGTTTAATCAGTTCAAATAATAAACCCCTCCCCCCTACATACATCGGCCTTTCTATCATCTAGCAAATCTTTGTAACGTGCCCAATCATCCCTATATTCGTTATTATCCCATTTGCTTCTCAGATTCAATAACTTTTCAGAATCCGGTGCTTCTTGCAGAGCCTCGTTTAGTCGTAATCCGTACTCGTGATGTGCATTTAAGTTACTACGATATTTGAACCTTGAAAAAAAGTTTAACGGACGAGGATCTGCGACGCGTTTTGATGTGGGTCATTTTGTCATTTTAGATAATGTCGATATTGTGTCTCGCTTTTCATAATATCACGTGCATAGATTCTATTTAAACGTCAGTATGGTTTATGGAGTGCTAACTTTAAACGGCTGGTTTACTCGAGCAGAAAAAACTGAGGTTACTCGTTTGTATTCTGCGGATGTTTTCATATCAATATGAAAATCACAACCCCTGCGCAAGCGTCTGCTAGGTATTAAGTTGAAGGTCGGGAAAAAACTGAGGTTATTCATCTGGATAAGCGAGGCGTTATTACCAACATACGGGAGCCTCTGCGAATGATTGCGGTCGACCAGACGGATACGCTTCAACACCAGTCGTACATTAACTTTTACAATATACTCAAAATATCCTTATGACTGCAGTGAAATAGTATACAGCTAAGTTGCCTGACAAAAATGTTGTTTTCTGGATATGCAAGGAGTATTTTTTTGAACATACACTTTTTAGTTATCTAGATTTTCGATGTTGGGTATTTACATTGTCACAATGTAACCCGAAAATATCTACACCATCGGGATCTTATTTTCTATCAATAATGAAATCATCTTTCCAAGTCAGTTTATTCAACGAGGTTTGTGTTCAGACTTATAACTTCTCACAGTCGTTCTTAATTAAGAGAATTGTAATAATCGGATCATTCTATCAACGGACTGTCAATAAAAGAATGCTATTAATAACTGTCATCCACACTATTGAAATTAATAAAGTTATACATTAATGAAGTTATAATTTGGATTTTATTTTATTTTTTTTTACAAAGGATACTCGTGTCTGCTACTTTGTAATAATGTATAAAATTTTCAACGACGGATTGTCACCCAAAAACTCTGCTGTATATTAAATTTGCACTATTATGGCAATATCAGAAGGCTAATATCATATATTGTATGAAAAAATTTAAATATATAGTGTGAGTCATAATTTTTTGAAAGTTTTTTATTAATAAACTTTATGATTAATTATTTAATCGATCACAATAACAAAAATCTATAGATTTGGATAATTGAGTAAGATAGGAAAGTATTAAACATAATGAATTGAAACAGATCTAGATTCGATACATGACTCTTCTCCCTAAAATTTTATCACACCAGTGGTTTCTAATTGATTCCTAACAGGAATAACATAGTCTCAAGATTAATAATAAATCATATTATTAATTTTATAATTCATCAAAAGTTTTAAATTTGTATTAAATGTATTTGAAAATATTATAATAAAATTAGATTATGCTAGTAAAAAAAAAAAAAAAAAAGATCTATGGATCAATATACAGTAGTAATATTCATAGATCACAATCATAAGATCTATAGTTTAATATTACTTAAGGATTAAATCAAAAATTATTTTTATAATCAGATTTACTAATTATCTTATAAAACTTATATCCAATTATCTGAATCAAGATTCAAATAGGTTAAATTGCAAAAAAATAGAATTTCTGATTTTTTATTAATCAGAAATTAAGATCTAATAATATTACTAAAAAGATTATATAAAAAAAAACTTTTGATCTAATCAATCATAAATATTTTATTTCAATTGACTTAACAATCTCTAAAATCTCTACTCTATTAGTTCAGAATATTTTAATTTGATATTTTATTTAATTGAAAATCAATACATAAAAACTGATCTAATATTACAAGTGCTAATAAAGAAAATAATATATATATATATAGATGCAAATAAATAATGTATACTAGTTTTTATTAGAAAATTAATTCATAAACAATTACATAAATAGTCTTTATAAGATTAATTACCAAATAAATTAATTAATGCCTATTGTGTAGATAGACCTTTACAAACTCTGAAAACTCATATAGAAAAAGAGAAAAATGATTGATAATATCTAACTACTAGTTTATTGTCAACCAGTAAGGATGTTCCCTAGAATGAATGATAGTATGTGTGATAGTGTAATTATAAAATTCAGGTTTTTATTGTACTGAACCTGAAAATCAGTTTAGATTGGAGTATAGACCATAAATCTTTCCTTATTAGGGACCTTGAACCTAATAAGGTATGATTAATCTGTATCGATCCTTTGAAGAGGGTAAGCTAATCATGATTTTTGGTGGAGTTTTGGGAGATGGTTAAAATAGGAAAAGATTTCATTGTTGTTTCTCTTGAGTTGGATGATAATAGTGTTATCAAGTATTCTGAACAAGAGCTCTTGACTAGTTATTTACTCTCTGACCAACAATAAAATGGCAGTTTAGGTCCTCAGCAAGTAGAATCATATTTTTGATGCTACCAATGGACATTCTTGTTATTGCACCTCTTCTTTATTTAGACAACTTTGTAAATGGCTAGTAATTATAAAGAGGTGTATCTAGAACTTTTGAAAAAGTGGTCACTCTTGCCACAAATTCACATCTCAATCATAAGAGATTTTGTTTTGATCTTTTTTATGAGTTAAGCCCACAAACTTGATTAGAGCAAAAGCTTGATATACTATAGAATTAATGAAATAGTTCAGTGAAAAAAGAAATAGGAGTTCTAGGAAGAAAATCTCAAAAAAGAAGAAAACTGTCTATTGATAGGAAAGGTATAAAATAAAGAGTAAGAATAAATAGGAAAAGAAAGAAGAAATGTGAAAAGTTTAATGTATTAGAAAAAATTAAGGAGAATAAAAATATTATTGTCTATTATGACTCAAGTATATACAAAACCTCACTCCAGGAGTGTCCTCTCTCCAAAGAATAGTTTTCTTTGTCTTAGACATTTACCATATATAGAGTGCAGGTTCGCTCATGTTTCCCTAGGCGTAATATCTTTTATATATCAACAAGTTAGATAACAAAGCCTCGTGTGATATTAACATATCTCAGACTTTGTCTGCTGCATAGTTGTTAGTCTCACGTAGAGTAAAGAAGGGGAAAGGAAAAAAAAAATCTCCTAAAAAGAAATTTTCATGAAGTAGAGGAAAGTGGAAAAAAAATTTTTAGAAAATAATATATTTTCTTTTAAGATTTGAGCAAATAATATTTAAGAACATTGAAAAGTATATAAATATTGATATATATATATATATAATTTAATTAGTTTAATGAAACAATAACAAATTTGAAACTATTTTGCACCTGGAAATACTACTATTCAACTTTTTAGATAAATGGTCCTTTCTAGATATACAGATTATATGGAAAGGAAAAGATAAAACTCCAACAAGATGGGATGCTACTAGCAGTAGTTGGATTGATTATATATAGATATTTCAAAACCTTACAAACTATCCAATATTCAGATTCGACAATTAAAATATGGAAGAAACAATAGGAAGTGATCATACTATACTAGTACTAACAATGTATAATATCAATCTCTTCACAAGAGATATTAAAAGCAAGCCTCCCATAAAGAGTAAACAAAGTATTGATATAAAGGGATCAACACCTAACAGTGAAATACATTTAATAAAAGTCTGAATCATAAACTCAGAATGACAATGGATTCATTGTTTGAAGAAGAACCGGAGAATGGTAAAATAGAAGCTCATGCAAACAAGATCTGGAAGACTTTTGAAGAACAAATATGTAGAGTAGCATATAACAAGCTTACGACCAAGAAGCTATCTACTTCTCAAGAAAAACATCATAGGTATGGACTAGAATTCATCAAGTATCGGAGGACTCTTCAACTATTCATACTCTTTAAAAAGGCAGAAAGTACACATAATTCAATCAAATTGTAAGCCCTTAGCAAGGTGATTAAGAAACATAATATTACCTTCAGTTCTAATTATCAGATTAAAAACTATTGTATCCAATATAATATTTGCCAAATTCCATGGAAACTATTAAAAAAGGATATATAGGATACAATAGAAGGTTTAAAACTTACTTGTCAAAATATAGAGGTAAAAAAAACAAGGGATGCTATTAAAAGAGCCTTGGAACAAAGATGTGATAACTTACGTAGCAATCAAAGGAGAATAGTAAACTCCTTGATTGATAGAAAGCAAGTCAAAATAACATTGGATAGGATCAAGGTTAAAGATGAAGAAAAGAAATATATAACTACTAAGAAGTGAGAAATTAAAAGAGAAATAAGGAAATATCATTATAAGACATTCAAAAAATGAAATGTCAATTTTGACAACTTTACAAAAGATTGAAAAGAAAAATATAATCCTAAAGGTTATATTAATAAAAGATGGTATAAAGACTTACTGGAGTCAATCTCCCAAAAAAAATTATACGAAACACTTTAAGGACTTCTCAATAATAAAGTCCTAGGGAGATCACAAATCAATTATGAAATGCTAAAAAAACTGGGTCAAGAAGGAAAAGAATATCTTAGCAAGATGCTTAACTACTTTCTAAGATGAGAAGTTACTCCAATAGAATGGAAGTAAAGTCATATATATTTCATAGCAAAACCAAAACCATGGAAATGTGAACTCCTCAATACCAGACCAATAGTATTGCTGAAAGTCATATAAAAATGCTTCATCAAAATTCTTACAAATAGATTGGGAAATATCTGCAAGACTAACAATATACTGAGAGAATCTAATTATGCAGGATTACCAAGAGAAAGCATAGCAGAACTGATTCAAATTCTCAATAACATTTGTGAGGAAGCAGGAGAAAATAAAAAGAAGTTATAGATACTTTTCTAAGATACAGCAAAAGCATATGATACTATTAGTCTAAATATGTTAGTCAAGGTAATGAATAGAATTAAAATATCAGAAAGCTTTATTTAAATTATAATGAGTTTATTTCAAAATTGAGAATTTAGGGTTATATTTAAGAAAAATCTAACTAAAGTAATCACAGTAGGAGATGGAATTGATCAAAGAGAAACCATCTCATACTAATATGAAGAATATTCTATGATCCTTTATTGTGCAAGATTCAGAATGATGAAATAAAAGACTATAAAATGTCAATGGCTTGGGATCCAGAGTTAAAGGGAAACACTAAAAGAAAGCTAGAGTCAAGGCATACAGCTATCGCATTTATGGATGA